CTGTCTCTGTCTCCCTGTCTCTGTCTCTCTGTCTCCCTGTCTCTGTCTCCCTGTCTCTGTCTCTCTGTCTCCCTGTCTCTGTCTCCCTGTCTCTGTCTCTGTCTCTCTGTCTCTCTCAAATCAGTTTAAAAATATCCTTGGGTGAAGATTAAAATAATAATAACGCAAAAATTTAAAAACATGTACTAATGTAGGTTTTTTTGTAAAAACGACGTGGGGTGATGCGGACTTTTGAAAAGCAGGGGACGCCGGCATCGTCACCCTACCAGCCAGGCCTCGCCGTATCTCAGAGGCCATTCCATGGGAGACGGGGAGCTCAGGGTGCTCGGGGAGCTCAGGGTGCTGGGGGCGCTCAGTGTGCTTGGGGAGCTCAGGGTGCTCGGGGAGCTCAGGGTGCTCAGGGCGCTCAGGGTGCTCGGGGAGCACAGGGTGCACAGGGTGCTCAGGGCATTCAGGGTGCTCAGGGAGCACAGGGTGCTCGGGGCGCTGGGCCCAGTGGCTGGGGTACTCAGGCCCGCATTTTTGCGTTTGGAGCTAGAAACGGACACTGAGCTGAACTAAACTGCAGAGTAAGGAGCTGAGGGAAGTTTGAAGTAAACGGCCAGGGAATCCGGGGGAGGCAGATGCAACCCCGGGGCCCAGTGCGCTGTGGAAAGGCAGAGGCAGGGCCCTGGCAGGGAGATCTGGGGAAGGGAGGCCTGGGAGACGGGACAGGCCAGGCAGTGACCTAGTGTGGCCGGTATACTGAAAACTTTCTTCTTTTCTTCCCCTATGAAATCTTCAGCAAATTCTATATTTCTTACAAATAAAAAGTGGTATTTTAGGGGGGGTGACTTATGGAGGGAGATGCGGGGACAATTGATATTTGGATTACATGACAATTTATTTGTATTAGAAATGCCTATGTAAGTTCATACATTTTGAACAATTCATGTTTTTAAAATGAGAAATGTACCTCCACAAGTAAATAAATTAAATCGCTTACCATGCTTCAGTTGGTTAGTTTGATGCTTAGCATTCTTTCCCTTTTCTACCTTCTGTACTTTTTAGAAAATTGTCCAGACCCCTCATGATCGGTAAGATCTGCATATGTCCACAATATAGCAGGAAGAAGGTTGAGAAAATTTTCCTGTTTTTAATTTTCTCTCCAAGTGAAATCAAATTTCCCCTGTTTTGGAATGACGTTGGGTTAAGTGGTTGTCACTAGAAAGTCTCTGTGCCTATTATTAGACATGGCTGTTATATTTTTATGCACCTGTTTCACTGTCTTTCTAAGAGAAGGTGACTCAGAAGTGGTCTGTCACAGAAGGAGACGGCATGAGGGCTGGACCAAGAAGATGGCCAGATGGAGAGAACCCTGGTTTGAATGACTTGGTGAGAGGCCTCAGGGACCCTGAGAGTAGCAGGAGAGTGTAGGTTTAAGGTTCTGACTCAAATAACAAGGAAGTGGGAGACTGGTCTAAAGAGATATTTCATCGGCTTCAAAACTGCCTTTTCTATCCTGTCAAATGAAGGGGAGACAAAGGACAAAAGGGATAAAGACTGAGGTTTAATTCCCAGTTATATTTATATTTCAATTAGGTATTTTTCTCTTCTAAATGGTCAGACACTATTATTCTTTCCATGGGAAGTAATTTTTTAGCTACTGTCTCTTTTTAAACTCTCCCATAAAATGGAAAACGTTTGAAAATCCCTGGAGCTGGTTTCCTATTTACTTAGAAACTAGATTCTGTAAGTCATATTTATAACTCTTGGTTTAAATGTAGGCATTCACTCTCGTGCCAGTGTCCTTTGATAACATGAGGTTTAAAAGCTTGAAGGACTGAGTATCTGGAAATAACTAACACTTATGTGGCTTTGTTCTTCTCAGTGTAGAATGTGTGCGCAGAATTAATAGAAGAAAAATGTTGGAATTCTTACTTTGGAAATCCACAAAA